GAGAGAGAATAAACTAGTTTTATTTAAGAAAGTACTTGTATCACTAAAGTTTCTTCGGAAATAATTTTTACGGAAAATTAACAAACGAACAGAGACGTAACAACTAGTTTTATTTAAGAAATGACTTGTATCGCTAAAGTTTCATTTTAAAGAAATTATACGGGAAATTAACAAACGACTAGAGACGTAACAGTATATTAAAATACATTTGTATATAAAAAAAAAACTGTGTGTATCAATCATGTTGGCAAATGTCATAAAGTGGATACATATTGTTGCCTATCTGCACGTTTGTTAATTTCCGGTAGAAATTATTTCCGAGGAACTTCAGTGATACAAGTTCTTTCTTGGTTAAACCAGTTTATTCTTTCTCGATACAACTTTGTAATACACAGAATTTCCCCAGTCACTTTAAACTTAACAACCTTTATAACACACTCTATAAATCAGTGATTCACACACATTACTTACAGTGCCTACTGTTCGCTTGACTCAATTATTTATATCTTCAAACTATCTGAATATCTATCTATCAGGGGCTTTATTTGCCGGGATTATATGCTAAAAAAGAGTGCGCCTGGCAAACACTCGGACATTCGTGGGGTTCCTCGATAAGTCATGATCCTTCTAGAAACTCCAGCGCGCATGCTACCAGCGTCGTGTGACTTCCGCTGTCGTAACAATATAGACGTTTATTTAATTTTTAAGTCTAAGTCATCATTTAACTCTGTCTCGGACTATTCGAAATTATAATACATAACTGAAGACTCGTCTGGGATAAGTTGTAATGCATGACATGAGCACTGTGTTAGCCCAATTATGACATTAATTCAGTTTGACTGAACTCCATTTATAACAACCCTCTGCTTTTTTCTATCCAGCCACTCTGCTGTCATATTTGATATCCTATCCCCCACACTCGTATGTATTTTTTACAAGCCTTATATGTGGAACCTGATTAAATGCTTTCTGAAAATCTAGATACACCAAATCTACACCCTCACCCTAATCTATATAAGCAGTAATATTTTCAAT